CCCTTTCTCCTACGAATTTTTTTTTTTTTTTTTTTTGTGGTGGCTGGCCTGTACTGGGATTGGAACCCTCAACCCTGGTGTTACAAAACCATGCTCTAACCAACTGAGCTAACCAGCCAGCCCCTCCTACAAATATTTTGTCATGTCCACTTTACTCTCGGAAATACTAGGATACTTCAAAAAGTTCATGGAAAAAAGAGAATTAAAAGATAATACAAATTTTTCCATGATCTTTTTGAAGTACCACTGTACTATTCATATATTTATATAAACAATTTACACCCATAAGATTTTTTAACAGTTTTATTGAGATATAATTCACATACGTATAATTCACCCATTTAAAGTGTACATCTCAATGCCTTTTATTATATTCACAGAGTTGTGCATCCATTGCCACAATCAATTTTAGAACATTTTCATTACCTCCAAAAGAAATCTTGATCCCCTTAGCTGTCGCCCCTCCATCCCCCACCCCAGTTCACCCACTCCCTGGCCTTAAGCCACCACTAATCTACTTTCTTTGTCTATGATGATTTTCCTATTCTGGACATTTCCATAAATGGAATCATACAATATGTGGTCAACCATTACCACTATCTAATTCCAGAATATTTCTTTCATCCCCAAAAGAAACCCCATACCTGTTAGCAGTCACCTCCCAATCTCCCTCCTCTTGTCCCCTGGCAACTGCTGATTTACTTTTTGTCTCTGTGGATTTGCATATTCTGGACATTCATGTAAATGTAATCACACGTGGTCTTTTATGACTGTCTTCTTTCACTTAGCATCAGGTTTACTAGGTTCATCCGTGTTGTAGCATGTATCAGTACTGTTCGTTTATATTTATTGCCAAGTAATATTCTATTGTATGGTACCAGCCAGCTGCCAAATATAAATATATACATATATTCCATTGTATGGATATACCTCATTTTATTTATCCCATGAGACTTTTTAAAATACAGGAGAAATAAAAAGAAGGTGATTTGTTGTAAAATAAGATGAATTTTATTTTTTTTTAATTTTTTTTTTAAAAAGATGACCGGTAAGGGGATCTCAACCCTTGGCTTGGTGTTGTCAGCACCACGCTCAGCCAGTGAGCAAACCGGCCATCCCTATATGGGATCCGAACCCGTGGCCTTGGTGTTATGAGCACCACACTCTACCGAGTGAGCCACGGGCCGGCCTTAAAATAAGATGAATTTTAATATGTAAATACTCAGCAGAGACAACAGTAGAAGAAGTGAGGAAACAGTCTTAAAATCAGATGAATTTTAATATGTAAATACTCAGCAGAGACAACAGTAGAAGAAGTGAGGAAACAGTCAGCGGCTCACAGCTAAACATAGCTAAGTGAAATGGCTAATGCAAAGTGATCCATAGTGCTGTATCGGAGACTTAGTGGCAAGTCGTGGAGACTTAGTGGGACAAGTGGTGTTACCACTCATGTCAAGGTTTTCTAAAATGATGAACAACACTTGGTAAAATTCAGAACAAAACAAAGTACAATCTTCTCTTGATTTACTGGTAGTTGCATTCCTGGAAATTTCAGCAGCTCTTAAAACTATGCAAAAAAAAAAACCAGCTTGATCCTTACATGTATTCTGGGATTCCATTCTGGGCTCAGAGATTTATAGACAGGCTTTTCACCAGCATGAATGTCTAGTGGGACATTCAAATGTAGGACCCGGGACAGTTCTCCATTGTGAGGAACTGACTCCCCATTGCAGTGTACAGACAGCTGTGACCCTGCCCACTGGATGTCCACATCTGCCCCCAGTCTTTGTACCAACCAAAACTTCCTTCACAAATTTCCCATACGCCCCCAAGGTCTGGCTTGGGGATGGAGAGGAGAGGTGCAAGCTTCAGGGGGTGGAATCCACAGGTCTAAGGGGACACGGGAAGGATTTTTGAGAAGGAGGAATTTATGTGTGAAATGCTCTCAGAGATATGAAAGGAGATCATTGGTTTTGAAATATCCCCACTGGAATTAAGATTGATCAGACTTGGGACCGGCCCGTGGCTCACTCAGGAGAGTGCGGTGCTGATGACACCAAGGCCACGGGTTCGGATCCCCTATAGGGATGGCCAGTTTGCTCACTGGGTGAGCGTGGTGCTGACAACACCAAGTCAAGGGTTAAGATCCCCTTGCCGGTCATCTTTTTAAAAAAAAAAAAAAAAAGATTGATCAGACTTGTGGCTGCTCAGACAAATAGGTAGTTGAGGGACAGGCTGCTCACAGTGGAGAACAAGGGACCACCATTTTTAAACAACCAATTTTCTCATCCTGGAGAGGCCTCCTCTCCTAACTCCCTGCCTTCACAGATGTAAGCTTTCGTTATCTTCATTCTACCAATAACACAACGGAATTAGTCTGCTAGGTCTGCTGTAATAAAGTACCATAGACTGGGTGGTTCAAACAACAAAACTTTGTTGTCTTATGATTCTGTAGGCCAGAAGTCCAAGGTCAAGATGACCACAGGGTTGGTCTCTTCTGAGGCCTCTCTCTTTGGCTTGTACACAGCCGTGTTCTCGCTGTGTCTTCACATGGTCTTTCCCCTAAGTATGTCCTAACCTCTTCTTTAAAGGACCGCAGTCACAGTGAATTAGGGCCCACCCTCATGACCTCACTTTACCATAATTACTTCATTAAAGACCCTATCTCTAAATACAGTCATACTCTGAAGTACTGGGGGTTAGGATTTCAACATATGAATTTGAGGGGGACACAATTCAGCCCATAACAATAACAAAGAGGTTAAGCGAGGAGACCATGTCATAAGGTGGGAAGCACCAGGGATCAGGAATCCAGGAGGCTGGATTTCATCTCCTTCGCTATCTGAGTGACCTGGACAAGTCCCTTCACCTCTTAGGCCTCAAGCAGCTCATCTGTAAAGTGTCACTAATGAAGCCTTTTCTGGGGCTGGGAGTCAGAGTACTTAGCAATAGAAGGCGCGGGCACCTGGGGGCCGGCCCGTGGCTCACTTGGGAGAGTGCGGTGCTGATAACACCAAGGCCACGGGTTCGGATCCCATATAGGGATGGCCGGTTTGCTCACTGGATGAGCGTGGTGCTGACAACACCAAGTCAAGGGTTAAGAACTCCTTACCGGTCATCTTTAAAAAAAAAAAAAAAGAAGGAAAGAAAAAGAAGGCGCAGGCACCAGTGCAAGCTTGGAGCAGGATCCTGGCAGCCTCCACTGGATCAGCCATTAAGCCTTTAGGTGCTAGATGCAGAGGAGGTACTGGAGATCCCAGGGACATGGGACATGGTGGCTGAAGGGTTACTAGGGGACCTGGAATACCTGCTATTAATTTACCAAGCGTTGTGGAAATATTTCGATATTTTTAACGACGAGTAGGACCATACTGGTACACATCAAGGGGGCACGCTGGGCCTGACTGTGGACACTAAGGAGGAGGGGTGGGAAATGAGTGGAGACTGCTCAGTCTCTGACCACCCTAAAGACTCTCCCTCTTGCTCCCCACACAGGCCAAGCTGATCGTCCCCAACAGCACTGCGGGCCTGATCATCGGCAAGGGGGGCGCAACGGTGAAAGCCGTGATGGAACAGTCAGGTGCGTGGGTGCAGCTGTCCCAGAAGCCGGAGGGCATCAACCTGCAGGAGCGCGTGGTGACCGTGAGCGGTGAACCTGAGCAGGTGCACAAGGCCGTGAGCGCCATCGTGCAGAAGGTACAGGAAGACCCCCAGAGCAGCAGCTGCCTCAACATCAGCTACGCCAACGTGGCTGGCCCCGTGGCCAACTCCAACCCCACCGGCTCGCCCTACGCCAGCCCGGCTGACGTGCTGCCCGCTGCCGCCGCCGCCTCGGCCGCCGCC